CATGCTGCCTTGTGGACTTGGTAGAGTAGACACAGTGGGCAGGTTCCTGGGAAAGTGCTGTACAGTGACATTTCTGGCACATAGATGGAGACCAGCTGTCATCAGGGGGGTTGTCTGTAGCAGTGACAGTTAGGCTGAGGTGTGAGGATGGCAATGGGCAGCCATGGAGAGCATTCCAGGCAGGGACAACGTCCCGTGAGGGTCGGAAGTCACCGACGGGTTGCAGAACCTGAAAGGGCTGGGAGAAGGGCTGGGAGGGCTCGTGCAGCCTGGGCCGTGGAGGATCCAGACTTCACCCTAGGTGCAGCGGGGCAGCTGAGAAAGAGGGGGTGCAAGCAGGAGAGTGGATGGGTTGCCTGGTGGGCTCAAGGCCCCGGGTCCAATTCCCAGCACACAAGCAAGGGAGGGCGGGAGGGATGGGAGCTGGACAGGAAGCTCCAGGTGGGACGGCCGGCCAGGGCCAGAGCCCTGCCAGGGAGAAGCTGGTCCTGTGCATGGATTAGATGGCGGAGAGGGAAGAGACGAAGACAGGGATCAAAGATCCTTTCCAGATTTCTGGCTAAGCATCTGAGGGTGGGGTAGCTCCCTTCCAAGGAATGAGGGGAAAAGGAAGGAATTGGTTTGGAGAAGAGGGATAAAGTAGATTTCCCTTTTTTTGCGTGGGGCAGGGGTGGGTTACCAGGGATTGAACTCAAGGGCACTCCACCCCTGAGCCACATCCCAGCCCTATTTTGTATTTTATTAAGAGACAGGGTCTCACTAGTTGCTTTTGCTGAGGCTGGCTTTGAATTGTCCATCCTCCTGCCTCAGCCTCCTGAGTTGCTAGGATTACAGGTGTGCACCACGGAGCCTGGCTTGGAGTTCCCTTCTAAACACATGAACTCTGGGGTGACTGAGAGGCATAACAGGGAGACAGCAGGCTGTCAGACTTAAGTCAGGAACTGAGAAAAGAATTCAGGGATGGAGACAGAAATTTGGAAATACAAGCAGAGTTTAAACCCGTGGGAGTGAATTTACTGTATCAGTCTCCTGAGGCTGCTATAACAAGTGCCACAGAATGTGTGGATACTTATTCACATACTTCTCTCACAGTTCTGGAGGCTGGAAGACCAAAATCCAGTGTCATCAGGGTCATGCTCCCTCTGAAGCCTCCAGGGGGTGTCTTTTCCTACATCTTCCTGCTTCGGTAACTCCAGGTGTTCCTGGGCTTGTGGCAGCTAATTCTACTCTGTCTCTGTCTTCACATGGCCCCTTTGCTGCTGTGGCTGTGTCCAAATTCCCCTCTTATAAGGACACTAGTCATATTGGATTAGGGGCCAGCTACTTCAGTATGGCCTCATCTTAATTAATTACATCTGCAACAACCCCATTCCCAAATAAGGCCACATTCTGAGGTCCCAGGATTGCAACTTTCGCTGATCTTTCACAAAATTCAACTCATGTCAATTATCTTGGGCAAAAATCGACAAGGAGATGAGCAGGGCCCAGGGCTTCGCCAGCATGTGACAGTGGATAGAGGAAGACAAGCCAATAAAGGAAGTGGACAGGCCAGTAGCAGAGGGGTGGATGGACAGATCTGGGAGACCGGGGCGCCCAGAAAACCAAGAGCAAGAGTTGCAGAGTGGAGCAGTGGACTGTGTGGAAGAAAGGCAGCTCTCGGGTCTGCGGGTGAGAAGTTAACCATGGACATGACAGTGTGGAGGCCATGCCGGTCTCACCAAGGACAGTACTCAGCAGAGCGTCGCCAGGTCCCGTTAGAAGAGGCTGAGGGGATGCAGTGGGTCAAGAGATGGAAACCACAGGGGAGATCACCCACAGGGACTGGGGTGGGGAGTGGCAGGGCACCTGGCAGCGCTGCGGGAGACGGGAGGGCAGGGATCCTCTGGGTCTGGGTGTGTTGTCGCGTTTGCTTGTTCTGTCCTTGCAGTCGCTTTGTTTTCTAGAGTGGAGCTGCTGGTGTCCGTCAGGTGCTTCTTCAGCTACTTTCCGAATCTGGTGTCTGAAACAAGGCTGCCTGAAACAGGGTGTGCAGTGGGGGTTCATCATGGAGCCACCCAGGCAGCCCCAGCTCTTGGATGCCAGAGGGCGAGAGCAGCCCAGAGTGGCCTGAAGGAGAGTGAGGGGCCAGGGAGAGCCCTGGCAGCCATCCCCAGTAGCGGGGACAGGGACAATGGAAGGCCTGTGAAATAGCAGCACGGGGGTAGTGTGCTCCGTGCCCTCCCGGCAGTGACTGTCCTTCTGTGAGTCAGCTTTCCTTCTCTGAGGCAACTGACTTATGATACAATCGGGCATTTTGGTTCGCAGTTTGAAGGTTCCAGGCCCTGGTCAGCTGGCCCCATTGCTTTGGGCCTAGCATGAAGAGCACTTCCTGGTGGGAGAGCATGACAGAGCAAAACCTCATGAGCCATGGAGCAAAAAGGAAAGAGAAAGGGGTTGGAGGCCCAAGTCCCTTTCAAGGACATGTTCCCGATGACCCAAGGGCCTCTCACTAGGCCCCACCTCCCAAAGGTTCTGCCACCTTCCAGTAGCACTACCCCTGGGGACCACATAGGGCCTGTGGGGGACATTCAGCATCCAGACCAGCATACCCCCTTACTGCCCAGAGCAACAGTGAGGTGACTCCAGAAGCACCATCTCCACCTCCTTTGTGCATCTGAAAAATCCAAACTTTGTCACAAGGTATTTCAGTGGGTTTTTTTGTTTGGTTGGGGGGGGGTTTTGTTGTTGTTTTCAATACTATTTTCTAGAGAAGGGAGATTAGCAACGAGAGCAAATTTAAATGGGGGAGGTGAAGCTTGCTTTTTGAATGGAGAAAATTCATCCAGAAGATCAGAAGCCAGGCTGGGGATGTGGCTCAAGCGGTAGCGCGTTCGCCTGGCATGCGTGCAGCCCGGGTTCGATCCTCAGCACAACATACAAGCAAAGATGTTGTGTCTGCCAATAACTAAAAAATAAATATTAAAAAAAAATTCTCTCTCTATCTTTCCCTCTCTTCCTCCCTCCCCCCACCCCTCTCTCTTTTTAAAAAAAGAAAAAAAAAAAAAAAACAGAAGATCAGAAGCCAGCAGAGGCCACCTGGCGCCTCTCCTGTCAGGTGGGCAAAAGGTGACCTGGTGGAGGACAGCCTCCGCCCTTGGCTACCGCTCTTGATTGCTAATGGCAGGCACAACAGCCTCCCCTCGCTTCGCTTTATCAAGTGGGAAACGTAGGGAGAAAGCTGCGGCGGGGCTGATGCATTTTGTATCACACAGCGCCCGAGGCCACAGTTCCCAAGAGTATGAGCTGTGTTCACGTGTCAAATTTTGAGCCTGGTTATCCCTAAGACGTACCCCTCCTGAGTCGTAACAAATGCTCAGAGAAGAGGGTGTGCTCTGTGGTCTCTGGTTTTGATTACCAATTTCATGTGCAGTTTTCTGAATTTAAGTGATTTCCTTTGAAATCTCCAGTATGTGACCTTGTCTGTTGTGTGAGGGGACATAGGCTCCTATAGTCAAGAATGGGTTGTTGGTAGCTTCTGATGGAATTCTGGTTGATTCCTAGATGATGTATTCATGAACAGGGAATGATAATTGTAACATGAGAGATCTTCTTCTGAGATTAACTTTGTAGAAGCTAATGAAAACAAAATAGTAATGTTTTCTTGAGAAAATGTGAGATAGATCCCCAAGAAAAGAATCACCGGTGAGAATGGATATTGGACTTAATCCCATTGTTTTGGTGGAAGCAAATTGTTTCACATCTTCTTAAAAGGAAAATATTTGTGTGTCAGAATTCCTTTGTAAAAAACAGGCATCCTCTAAAGATTTCCAGGTCTTTAGTTATAAAAGCTGGCTCCCTGGTCATCATTTCATCTGGTTGGCATGTAGGTAGTGAAGCTCACAAGTGTGCCTCCTATAAGATCTGCTCCCCAGGTACCGGCCTGGCCCTACACCAAGCCAGCCAGACGGAGCCCGAGAGTGGATGGGTCACTGCACCACACCAAGTCTCCTGGGCACCACAGGCCTCCACAGGCAGTCAGCAGGAGTCCCCAGGTTGGAAAGCCAGAGTTCATGTAGAAACAGCTGCCTATGTCTCCACGCTGCTAATGGCTCCTTCCGATCTTCCTTTCCAGGGCCCCTGAGATCATCCTTGGTTTACCGTTTTGCGAGGCGATTGACATGTGGTCCCTGGGCTGTGTCATTGCAGAGCTGTTCCTAGGTTGGCCATTGTATCCAGGAGCTTCTGAGTATGATCAGGTGGGTCCCAATGACACAGGTATTCACAGCGGGACCTCATTCCTCAGCTTAAAAATATCCTGATTAGCATTTCATTTCTGACCCCACCTATGGGTGCCGTCATGGACTCACTCATTATCTCCCAAAATTGCTTCCCTTAACCTTGCTATTTTGTTCTCTTTTCCTTCTTCTTTTTGTATGAAACTGTCATTTCCATTTTTTTCAAATCCACAAGAGCCATGAGTACGCCATATGTACAGTGACAAGAAAAGCCCTGACCCCCTTCTCGTCTTTTCTTGCAGATTCGGTATATTTCACAAACACAGGGTTTGCCAGCTGAATATTTATTAAGCGCAGGGACAAAGACAACCAGGTTTTTCAACCGTGACACAGACTCGCCGTATCCTCTGTGGAGACTGAAGGTAGGAAGAGCATCCCCTCCCTCCTCGCCAGTGGCCCAACACTCAGGAAGGAGGGCACGGCTCCGTTAGAGGGGCGCTTTTGACATTAGCGCATTGATCCCAGGTCTCACTTTAATTTGGTGAGCAAAATGGGGGCATGGGGTGTGGTTGTTAATACATGGTGTGACCGAACTTGCAAGTTCAAAAGCACCTTTCCTCTTGGCCCACTGATGCCTGAGAAGCTTGAGTCCCCAGTTAAGATCATTGAACTCCCAGGATTTCACTCCATGAGCCTCGAGGACTGATTTGTTCTGGGGAAAGAGTACAGAGTCCAGAGGGAGCCAGGCTCACGTGCAGCAAGCTCTGACCCATGACCTTGAGAACTAGAATGTAGGGGTGGGCCCCGCAGGACGCAGAGAGGTTTGTGAAGGGTTCTCCGGGCAAAGGAACCGCCTCAGCAAGGTGCGTATCGCAGGCCCCGTGGTCTGGTCTGAGGTGGCGTGTGCTCTGTGGCACGCCATAAGTTCTTCAGGTTTTACACAAATGGAAACATATTTTTCCTTCACTTTGATCTGTGCCTAGTAATTCAAATTAATGTATTTAATCTTCTTCCTGGGAAAGAGAAAATAATAAAAGTCTTAAATATGTTTTATATTCACTTGAGGTGTTTCCTTTTTTGCAGGAGGGTGGGTGGGTGGTTTTTTGGCAGAAACTACAGCCAGATTCTAATATAGTTTAAAAATAACATGTGGCAAATAGTCACAGAAGATTGAGAAAAGAGAGTTGTGAACTAAGCAGGCACTCTTAGGCTATTTGGCCACTATAACGATGAGCATCAAGGTCAGGTCCAGTTGGAAGCCCTCGGGTGGAGGAGGCTGAGCCAGGTGGGAGGCAGAGCCTCATCCCACTCGTCCAGCTGTTCCCAGGAGTCAGCAGTTTCAGGTGTGCTGTCCTTGAGTGAGATTCTGGGATCAATCACCTCTGTCTATGGATGAGCCCAAAACCCCATGACAATTGAAAACAGCGCTTTCCCAGCCAATGGAAGCAGTGGATGTCTGTGTCCCTGCCCAGGCAGCACAGATCGCGGGCTCTGGAGCCACCTGCCACCTGCTGGCCAGAGGACCTTTGCAAGTTCCCTAGGCTTTCCATACCTGTTTTCCTGTTTGGAAAATGGGGTTAGCAATCATCCTAGTGTGGTTAGGAAGACTACTTCATAGGTTAATGTGCTTTGAAATAGCACTGGGAGAGCTTCATGTATAAGGACTTATTAGATAAAGTAATATTTTATATAACATATTATGTAAGAAGGGGCTCCTGCTTTCCCACCTAGACTCCTATCTCAAACTCAGGGAATGCTGCAGGGAAGTCAGGAACACGGCAGACCGCCCTCATCTTAGAATACTCCATCGCTGATTCAGAGCAGGCCATGAATGGAGGTGTTCATGGGAAGGCAGAAGGATGAGTGAGTGTGGATGAATAAAGGAATTAGTGTGCAGGTTACTTTAAGAAGAATCAAAGCCTCTTCTCTACCAGGTGGGAAGGACCCTCTGTGGGAAGCATGAGCTCAAGTGTTTGAGACTGAGTGACTAGGAGCTAAGCCACGTTACCAATCAGCTTTTGCCTCTCTTGATAGACACCAGATGACCATGAAGCAGAGACGGGGATTAAGTCAAAAGAAGCAAGAAAGTACATTTTCAACTGTTTAGATGACATGGCCCAGGTAAGCGCCGTGGGTGAATATGCAGTGCAAGCCCTTTGAACACCATGTGCAGCAGGACCTCTGCCGGGGTGCATAGTGCAGGCCTCTGTGGGCTGTGTTCCTTCTGAAGACCCCAGGGAAAACCATCCATGACTCTCTACCAACTCCTGGTGGCCCTGGCATCCTCACATCCCTTGCCTGGTAGCTGTGTGACTATCTGCAAACACCCCATGGGTTACTTTGGATTAGGACAGGAACAGATCTTTTTTTTTTTAAAGTGTAGATGGGCACAATACCTTTATTTTATTTATTTATGTGGTGCTGAGGATCGAACCCAGTGCCTCACACATGTGAGACAAGCAATTCACCACTGAGCCACAATCCCAGCCCAGGAACGTATCTTACAGGGGAACATAATTCAACCTACTCCACTTACTTTCTCTCAGCTCACTAGCAGAGATCATAGACTCTCAACTTCGTGCCCCAGAGAAAATTCTAAAACTTCAGCTATTTTTAGTGTGAAGACTAGTCTAAAATCAGGACAACCCAAAGTGAGTTTTCTTTAAAGCAATGAGAAATAAAGCTATAGTCCAATAAACACTTAGCACACCTCTTACTGCAGATGAGTGTGACCAAAAATCCTGATTCTGAGTAAAGCACACTTGTCAGTTGATTAGTAGCTTAGATTGTCTGAGAACACTGAAATTGCTTTCCAGAGCTTGCCTTGGAAAAAATAGGAAGGGCCAAAAACAAGAATTTAAAAGCCAACCTGGTAGAGACTTTCTCTTGGAAGAAAAATCCTGTGTTCAGATACCCTGCCTGCTTTGGCCAGAGGTGACCACAGTGAACACAGAGAATAAAATAATTCCAGTCCCAACTCAGAAGCCATGAGAAGTGTGACCTACTATAGATGGAGGAAGAGGGCACTTGGAGCCTTCCATTTCCTTCTGAAGGTTAAATAGACCGTTTTTTGGATCTTTTTTGTATTGTTTCATTGTGATTCTTTTTTCTTTTAATTGTCATAAAACATAGAGCATAAAATCACCATCTTAGCCTTTCTTATATGTACAGTTCAGTGGAATTAGGTGCATCACATTCTTATGCAACCAGTCTCCAGAACTCTTTCATCTTGAGTTATTTTTAATGAGGTGTGATGAGAGCTACATTTTGACTTAGCTGATTAAAGCAGGAGCAGTTTCCGTCCTGTCACTGAGATGTGTTTGCAGGTGCCACCTACCCCTCGCCCCTTCCCAGAGCCTGACCTTCTCCTGCAGAGAGCAAAGCCACCTCCTGGGGGCTACAGCAGCCTGAGGGTGGTGCCTCCACAGGGGCAGAGGTGGCCTCCCCAAGCTTGGAAGGGGCCTGGAGATTGGCAGGAGGGACAGGACAGAGTAAAGAGAGGTGGGGGAGGCAAGGCTCACTGAGGCCCTTGGTCACCTGTCCTGCTTGCTTCCAGGTGAACATGACGACAGAGTTGGAAGGGAGTGACATGTTGGTGGAGAAGGCAGACCGGCGGGAGTTCATTGACCTGTTGAAGAAGATGCTGACCATAGATGCTGATAAGAGAATCACGCCAATTGAAACCCTGAACCACCCCTTTGTCACCATGACACACCTACTCGATTTTCCCCATAGCACACAGTAGGTGTCCTGCTTGTTGCTTTATACTAGGGAATGGTCCTTTTTCTTTAACAGCCTGGGTAGTAAATATTTTAGGCTCTGTGGCTATCTGGTTTCTGCTGTAGCTATCTAGCTCCGTCTTTATGGATGGAAGCAACCACACAGCACGGAAACAAAGGCACGAGGCTGCGTTCCCATAAAACCTTTATAAAAATATGGGGGTTGGACCAGGACCCCTGGCCGCTATTTACTCGATACCAAAAAAGAGGGGACAATGGAGCATGGAGATCCTGGGGTCGGATGAAGCCAACTCAGGGGTCCACATGTGGAGGGGACTCCCAGAAGGGCAGTGCCCAAGAACAAAACTAGTTTCAGCACCAGGTTTACTCCCAAGTCACCCTGGAGTGGACCCAGTCTAGCTTATGTCTGGATTTGTTCATTTACGGTACCAGGAACTGGAGCAAGTGGGGAACAAAGCAATTGGCCCTGCCCACCGAGGTTACTGTCTGCAGGAGGAAGACAAGTGGCCCAAATCCCCAGTCTCCATCAAGAAAGGGAAGTTCGTTATGTGCATATATGACAAGGTCAGTCCAGCAAGACCCTGAGAAGTGCCCTCTGAAGACAAGGAAGAGAATAGGCATGAGCAGGCAGGGCATTGTCTGTGTGGACACTCAGCATGGGCAGGACTGAGCCCCAGACTTGGGCACAGTGGGCGAGATACCAAGGCCACAGGAACAAGCCCTGCATGGCAAGGATTTGGGTCTTTATCCAAAGAAAAATAGAACGTCAAAGACTTTGAAGCAGGGGAAGGCTAGTTAAATTTATCTTGAACACAGGTCTCTCTGCTGCTGCACAGTAGTCTGGGGAAAATGTCTATCAAATCTTATAATCTGGAGGTCATTGGTATTGGTGACAGCCCTTTCCATGCAGTGGTGGAAGCAGAAAGCCATAGCAGGTTGAAAGATCCAGTGAAAAGCAGAGAAATAGCAGCCTCTCAAGACATGAGAATGGAAAGGGAGGGGAGAAATCTACGGGTGATCAGGGAGGGGCAGAGGGATTTTTTTTTTTGAAGACCAAGAAGGCTTGAACAAGTTTAAATTCTGATGGGAACAATCTGGTGGCAAATGAGAAATTAGGGGACAGGGTTGCTCAGGGTCAGTTTATTAACACAGTGGAAAGGCCTGAGTTAGAACACAGGTGGAGATGGGCCAGTGTCACCAAAAGATGGCAGACAAAGGGAGGTGTGGGTGTTAGCAGGTGTGCTGGCTTGGTGGAGAAAAGCTGAGAGAGTTCCTGTCGGGTAGTGTCTGTCCCTCTGAAGTAGATGGTGAGGTTGTGTGTTGCAAACAAGGTGCTTGGTGGTTTGAGCAGGATAGAAAGTTTAGATATCTAGAGCAGAAGTTTCAGAGCAAACTGACGGGAGCATGAAGTTGGACCTGAAAAGCAGATGATGTGACTGAGCTCCCGAGGAGAAAACCGATGGCTGGGTTTGTCTGGGTCAAACTTTGCCAGACTGATAAGAGAAAAAGACGGGTTGGTGAGGAAGGCGATGTTGCTGGCAATACAGTGGTTGTAATCCAAAATGGCAGCAATGCTGAGCCTTAGCTGAAGGGAATGTGAAGATGAGAAGGGTCCCACTGAACAAGGTGCTTTAAAACTTACTCATAGGATAGAGGCCAGCTGGCAGCTGTACGTCACAGCCATACCAGGACCGTGACTCCAGCTATGTGGTCTGGGGATGTGTATATGGAGATAGCAGCTGAGGCAGAGCAAGGTGTGCCAGCAGCAGCCACAGAGGAAGCAGTTGCTACTGGTGGTGGCCACTTTCGTGAAGGAACTGTAGGCCTTGTGGAAGACATGATTCAAGAGAGCTACCTCCACCACGAGGGCGCTGTGAAGCAGGGAGGTGTTGCACACCACGAGGCCAGTGGTGGTGACCAGCAGTCCAGGCAGGAGCAGCAACCCAGGCACCCTACAAACGTGGCTGAGGCGGTTCCTCAGCCCCAGCACAGCCATCCACGAATCCAAGTTCTCAAAGTGGCAGTTGCAGGAACTGAAAAGTGTTTTCCAGGCAACTCAATACCCTGGTGTGACCACCAGAAAGGGACTTGCAAGATACATCAATGTTACTGAAACCAGAGTGTAGGTTTGGTTTAACAACAGGAGAGCCAGATATAGGAAATTAATGCTTGGAGATGCACTGTCTGGTTCCCAGGACCACATGTTCCTGGCAGACATGAACAAACCCTCCTTCAAGAGCCAGATTAGAGATGGGTCTGCCTGTTGCAACTGCTACATGGGCCACTGTTGATGCCCAATGCATACTTATCTCCTCAGCAGTTGTATTAGCAATAAAGGAGTGAGTTATTTAAAAAAAAAAAGTTATCATAGTAATAGCTGAACAAGCTGGATGGGTAGAGAATGTGGCCGTGAGCAGAATGCTTGAGTTCATGATTTGGGGAAGTGGAACAGTTTCAGGTCTGGCACACCAGAAAATGGGTGATGGGCATGAGAACAAGGTTACTGAGATGACAAGCAACCTAGAAGCCAGGATGTTCAAAGAGTCATCAGTGCAGCCTCCGAAGCCTTCCTGGGTGGGCAGAGAAGGGCTTGGAGAGGAAGACTAAGCCAGTGGCAATGGCCTGGGTGAATGAGTGGGACAGGGGGTCTTTGGTGGATGGGAAATTTCATGTCCTCAGATACTCTGGACACGAAAGAATAAGGAATCACATCCCTGTGGTTTGCAGGGAAATTAGGGTGTCCAAGAGCAACAAGTTCTCTTAGATGTGGAGGGAAAGGGAAGACTGTGAAAAGAGAGGCTTGCAGATCATGGTTGGCCCTGCCATTGGCTGAGTCTCCAGCCTGGACAGGACCCTATCCAGCCTACAGTGAGTGGGGGCACCCTGAGCGCTTCGTCTGTGTCAGTTCTGTTCCTCCCAGTCAGCGAAGCAAGTCAAGTTGCATTGCAACTACCAGACAGTGCCTCTTTCATTCAGAGCCGCTTTTGAAACAACCCAACTCCAGTAACAAAGAAGGAATAGGGACCAACTCTTTCAAACTCTTTTTATTTTTTTAGTATTTATTTTTTGTAGTTGTACACAATAACTTTTATTTATTTTTATGTGTGCTGAGGATCGAACCCAGGACCTTGTACATGCGAGGTGAGCACTCTACCGCTGAGCTATAACCCCAGCCCCTCAAACTTTTTTCAGGGGATTTGCCCTACTTTTGAGTGTGGCAGGAATCAGTCAGGGAGGTGTCATCTGAAACACAAGAAAAAAGATAAATTTGGTGACGTACTGGCTAGGACTCCCAGGACACCAGTTTTTCTATGTTCAGGGGTAAAGAAGGATGATGGGAAACAGCAGGGTCAGGAGACGGGATATGGGGTGTTCTCAGAAAGCCCTGCAACCATTTGTACTAAGGAGAAATTCTACTTCAGCTAACTGAGCACTAAGATGGTGAGGCACTCACCCATAAAATCAGCCCCATATAGTAGAGGGAGCTTGAGGAATGGCATCCTGTCCTCCTCTGGCTTCTGTAAGGAACCACCAACACAATGCTTTACTGAGGAACACTGAAAGCGGGCCTCAGAAGGAGAGGCAGGCCTTTGAGAACACATAGGCTTCCTGAGAGAAGGCCAAAACCCTAGGGCTCCCCAGAACTTGCTGGGAAGACCACGGAAAACTCGGGGGGGGGGGGGGTGGAATAAATCTCCAGGCCCACCTTGCTATGGACTCCCAACCTTGGGACAGCTGCCCCAACATCTGGATTACTAGGTGAAAGAGATGCCCCCTCATTTGTCCGTACCAGAGTTCTAGTGTACGAATCTTTTAAAAAACCAATCTTCTTAACTAACCCAAAGTAAAAGCACTTGCCTTGTCCAGACAATCAAAATGCAAATCATTTCAGTTAGAAAATTCTGAAGGAGTCAGAACTTTGCACTAAACCATCACAAAACCATCAAGTGCTTTAAATGCATTCCAAAGAGAATACAAAATGTGTAAGTCGTGCATGCCTATAATCCCAGCAATTTGGGAGGCTGAGGCAGGAGGATCACAGGTTCAAAGCTAGCTAGCAACTTAGTGAAGCCCTAAGCAACTCAGTGAGACCCTGTCTCAAAATAAAAAATAAAAAGGGCTGGGGAATGGGAAATGTGACTCGGTGATTAAGCATCCCTGACTTCAATCCCTGGTACCAAAAAAAATACAAAATACAAAATATGTTGTTTACGCCTTTAGCCTCCACATGCAGCATGGTACTTGCTGGAAGTTCCAAACCCCTTGGCATTGCCAGCATTCGTAGCAGTATTTTAAACTGTTGGTTACCATGGATTATGTTTTTTTTTTTCTCTTCAAGGTCATCAATCAGTAAATGTTTATTTAGCATGCATTATGTGGCAAGTGTAAGTAATCATAAACTTAGATATAGGATTATGTAAGTCATGTCTAAGATTTGAAACTTGGAATGCATTTTATGGAAAGGATGCTTTGGGATAGCCCACAAACAACCACTTAGCCCAAAACCTGGTGTACACAGAAATAGTGGACATTTGTAATCTTAAAATAGTAAAAAACTAATTCCTTACTTATATTCAATTATTACATTCTATTTAAAATGGACATTTTAAGTTGAAGATTAAGTGGAAGTTTATCCTGAAAATTGCATTCTAGGAAAAGTGACTCTAAGGAAATGAAGACCCGCAAGTGAATGAGCAGCAGTATGTAGGCTCTGCAGGATGCTTTATAATGGATCTTCAGGAACTGGAATGGTCAAGGCCACTGGAGGTTTCTTCTTCCTTGATGCTGGTGTCTGTTCTGCTCTCATAACTCTGTAATTAGGGTTTTATTTTGATTCACCAATGCAATGGAGGAAGAAAAAGAAGGGGAAATGCTACTTCATGTAACTGAGAAAGAATTAGAAAAAAATCACAAGGATAAAGGAAGAGAGAAAGGGTATAGGTTCCCTAGACAGTAATTACCTTTGTGTGGCAAACTACCTGCTCTCCCTGGGCCTCAGCTTCACTCATACAATAGGAACACTAATCCTACCTCCATCCTGTGGATGTCTTAGGACTGAGTGAAGGATTACAAACACCTATCAATGGTCTCAGTCAGGGTCAGCATTACTGTTAATTATTTGCATCTTTATCGTTTTCTTTACTTACCAATTCTGTTGAGGACAAAGAGGAGCCATGTGTTCCTGGCACTAGGAGATTCCTTGGCCATCCCCTAGATTGTGCCGGTGGCCCAGGAAAGGGGCAGGTACAGGCACTTTGTAAGCTACTCGATGTTCCCAGAGAGCTGATGCATTTGTTTATGGGCCAGAAGCGCCAGAGTGGAGAAGGGGCAGTGAGGCAGGAGGCAGGGGGCGACATGGGGAATGCAGCGAGGTGTCATGCCTACTGGGATATGTACGGCCTCCTTCCACCCAGGATGAGAGAAAGGTGGCAGGGCCATGGGAAAGCCATCCAAGTAACATCGGTGGTCACAAATGCACAGACGTTACATGAGAAACCAGGACATTTTGGGTAAACTTAAGTTTCTCTGGTTGTTATTGATTGGATTAATTATTTCCCTCCATTTTCTCCCCTTTATCCTATTTGATCTTCACCCCTTTCCTTTGTGTCTGTCTCTGCTTTTTATGTGAACAGTGTCAAATCGTGTTTCCAAAACATGGAGATTTGCAAACGTCGGGTGAACATGTATGACACAGTGAACCAGAGCAAAACCCCTTTCATCACGCATGTGGCCCCCAGCACCTCTACCAACCTGACCATGACCTTCAACAACCAGCTGACCACTGTCCACAACCAGGTAAGCCGGGT